GTCCCCAACACCCCAGCCGCTTGGCTAGCTCATGCCCGAAATAACAACACACAAACTGTATTCATTTAAGAACTGCTTGGCCCATGAACTCTAGCCCTTACAGGCTAATTCTCGCACCTGGACTAGCCCATTTCTAATGATGTGTGTAAGCACCCCAAGGTGCGCTTACCGGGAAGATTCTAACCTACGTCCATCCTGGCCTCAGAGCGCAGAGCTATCGTGTCTGTCCGGCAGAGCTGAGCATGGCGTCTCTGCTCCAGCAGAGCTGTCGGGTCTCTCCGGGAGCAGAGCAGAGTCTGACCTCACTTCCTCTTCTGCCCAGCATCCTATTCTGTTTTCTCCTCCCATCTATGTTCTAAGCTATGAGGCCAAGCAGTTGGTTTATTATAATTAACCAATTACCTTCCTCCATCAAGAACCGACACCAAGAAAGTTGTTTTCTGACCTCCACACAGGATATGACATGCACACATATGATTATACATACATTGACACACATGAATACATACATAAGTACACAGAATCTATTCCAATATTCTTTTGTTTTGTTTTTTGTTGTTTTAAGAAGGGTCTCCATCTAGCACTAGCTATCATGGAACACAGTATGTAGACCAGATTGGCCTCCAATTCATAGAGATCCACCTGCCTCTGCTTCCAGAATGCTTGGATTAAAGTACCACCATTCCCATTTGGAAACAAGAAGGAGAAAGTAGCCTCCCCCTCAGTTTGTTGCCTGTATCCCTGACAAAAGCCCTCGAGGCTAACATGGCACCCTGTGTTTCCTTTGTAGACGGCATCGTCGGCTATTAAAGGTGCTATTCAGCTGGGCATAGGATACACAGTGGGGAACCTCACTTCCAAGCCAGAGCGCGATGTCCTCATGCAAGACTTTTATGTGGTGGAAAGTGTGTTCCTCCCCAGGTAAGAACATTTGCATTTGAAATGATCCCAAGCTGAGGAAACTTCAGTGGCATCCTTCTCTTGAAGAACTTTTCTGCCACACGCTTGTCTACATGTACTGGAGAGTGTGGGGGTGGGACGTGTGGCTCCACCATGTTGTTGCTTGGGAATGTCCTGCATTTCTCCTGTGGAGATGGTGAGTGGCCTCCACGGGTCAGCTGTAGTTAGTTGTAATGGGGACCTGGAAAACTATGTGCAGAAGGATCATGGGGTTTGCTGGATGAGGGGAAAGGAATTTCCAAGTAAAGTCTGCCACATGTTTTGAGAGAGCTTCCATTAATCGGTGCTGGTACCAAGGTTTTGCTATGCCTAATTTAAAAGTGTGAGCTGGGGCTGCACAAATGGCTTAGTGGTTAAGAGCACTGCTTACTTTTGCTGAAGACCTGGGTTCAGTTCCCAGCACCCCCATGGCAGCTCATAGCCATCTCTATAACTCCAGTCCCAGGAGATTCAACGTCTTCTTCTGGCCTCCAAGGGCACCAAGAAAACATTCGTACACATAAAATAAAACAAATCTTCTTAAAAATAAATAGTTAAAGAATGGACTGGAGGGACCACAAATCATCTTACATCTGAATTAAGCCAATAAGTTTTATTTCGTGATGACTTTGACTTAAATTTCCTCCAGAAAAACATGAAATAATGCTGCTATGTTGACACCTTGTATGCAAAAATCACCAAAGCTGGGTGGTGGTGGCGCATGCCTTTAGTCCCAGCACTTGGGAGGCAGAGGCAGGTGGATCTCTGTGAGTTCAAGGCCAGCCTGGTCTGCAAGAGCTAGTTCCAGGACAGGAACCAAAAGCTATGGAGAAACCCTGTCTCGAAAAATTGAGAGAGAGAGAGAGAGAGAGAGAGAGAGAGAGAGAGAGAGAGAGAGAGAGA